TCTGCTGTGTCTATAAATATATAAATACACATATATATGTGTGTATGCAGGTGGTTTGTGCTCCTCTGTCTCCTCTGAGGGCCTTTCTGCCCGGGATCGGGCTCCCCTCTGGGTGCCCCGACACTCAATGTGCCAGTTCTGAGGTAAATGTGGAACGCGGGGGCCTCTTCCTTCTCCGGGGTTCCTCTGGGATGTGTGCCTGTGGGGTTTGGAAAAGCTGACGCTTAAATAATATCCTTAATGTTCTTATGTTAAAATAATCCCTCAGGCTTTGTTTTCCCACGCTTAAACCCTTCGCAGCGTTTGTGAAGACGCACGGGGATGTGTCCTTGTGTCAGTTCTCGCCTCGCCATTAAGTTAAAACACTTTAATGGCAAATTACGGAAAGAACTTGATGCTGGTCTACCTGGATTTTTTTTTTTTTCAAGTATCCACAGGAATGTGTATGGTTTTAAATCATTTTATTTAAAGTTTCATAATAAATACTTCTCCTGCGGGTTTTCCCGGCTGGAAATACAGAAATCAAACAGCTCTGCATAGGAGAGTTTACATTTTTCCCCTCTGGTTTTCCATGGGTGGTTCAAAGTCAGCAGGCTGGGTCGTTTCTGAAGGTTACAGGAGAGCTGCGCTCTGTTTTCATAGTAGAGTGCAGATTTTTCCAATATTTGCCTCATTTTTGGGCACCTTTTAAGCACTGCCTCAGCCTCCCCCTGTCCACATACCACCCCCCAACTCTTAGGACAGTTTCGGGATGCTCCACATCACTTCCCACGATTCAAACCCCAAAAAAGCACATTGGAGATAAATCAGTCATGTTCACTCCCAAAAAACAATCTTGGTAAAAAAAAAACCAACTTGTTCAAAAGCCAAAAATTATTCTGGGTTGGGTTTCCCCCCCCCTGTTTTAAGATGATGCTCAGAAATAAACCTCAGCCTACAGAGGGAGCAGGTGAAAATCTCCCCGAGGAAAATGCAAGGCTTCCACTTAAGTGAATGCAGCGTTTTTTCATTGTTATTTTTAAAGGGGTTGATTAATTAGCTGGGGAACCAGACATTTTTTCATTTCAGGGTAAGATCAAGCTAAATTCTCCATCTTATCTTTCAGCTCAGTTCTCGTTACCCATCCGGACTCCGCAATGTACCCAGCCTCTGTCCCAGTCAGGAGTCATGCTGGGATAAAGTACACAGGCGACAAAAAAGGGAGAAAAATCGGATTTTGGGCAGTGAACATCCAGCCTTGACCCCACCAAGCAAGGTCAGAGCATTTCTGTATGTATTTACCCTCCTGTCCTTCATTTCTCCTGCTTGGACTCAAGCCACAGGGCTCAAAGAGATTATTTCTTTCAAGAAAGAGGTTTGTGCTCATGTCCTGGGCACTTCCCTGCCTCTTCCACCTTGATTATCCTGAGGGGAAGGTTAAGGAGCCAAGCAGCTTTTGGAGAAACTGGGCCACGGGAGCTCAGGCGGTCTCTGCGTCCTGGGGAGAGGAGCGGGGACGATGCTTTCCGCAAAACGAAGACGATTCCCATCAGTCCTGCGCCGCTCCCTTTGCACAAATTAGTTTCTTAAAAAAGCACACGAGAAATGAGCTCAAAACTCTTGTCCCAGCACACGGGGACGCCCACGGTCACACAGACGCAGGGGGCGGGGAGGGGGCAGCAAGCCCCC